ATTGTTTCTCATTGCCATGTAGTATTCCATGGTATAGATAAACCACATCTTCTTGATCCATTCATCTGTTGATGGACACTTAGGCTCTTTCCATGTTTTAGCTATTGTGGAGAGTGCTGCTATGAACATTGGGGTACATGTGCTCCTATGCCTCAGCATTTCTGTATCCCTTGGGTAAATTCCTAGCAGTGCTATTGCTGGGTCATAAGGGAGTTCTATTGTTAGTTTCCTGAGGAACCTCCACACTGTTTTCCAGAGGGGCTGTACCAGTTTACATTCCCACCAACAGTGTAGGAGGGTGCCCGTTTCTCCACATCCTCGCCAGCATCTAGAGTTCTCTGATTTGCTCATTTTAGCCACTCTGACTGGCGTGAGGTGGTATCTCAGTGTGGTTTTGATTTGTATTTCCCTGATGAGGAGGGATGCTGAGCATCGTTTCATGTGTCTGTTGGCCATCTGGATGTCCTCTTTGGAGAAGTGTCTGTTCATGTCTTCTGCCCATTTCTTCACTGGGTTGTTTGTTTTTCGGGCGTGTAGGTTGGTGAGTTCCTTATAGATTCTGGATATTAACCCTTTATCTGATATGATTAATGACCCTTTTAAATGGCACGGTAAATTCTCACAAATAGGTTTTTTGGTAAATGACTGAACAGGGGCACCTGGGTGGCTCATTCAGTTAAGCATCCGACTCTTGATTTCAGCTTAGGTCAGGATCTCACAGTTTGTGAGATGGAGCCCCATGTCAGGCTCTGTGCTGACAAGTCTGCTTGGGATTCCCTCTCTGCCTCTCCCCTACTCTCTCTCTCTCTCCTCTCTCTCTCTCAAAATAAATAAACTTTAAAAAATGAATGAAGATAACTACATGTGGTACACTTGGTTTTATGTTTTTTCTTGTTGATCCATTCATTCAACTCTCCAGTAGATATCTATTGAGCGCCTAATAGGACAGCTGCACGTCTCAGAGAAATGAAAGCTGATTTTCACGTAAAAACCTAGATAGAATTGTTCCTAGCAGCTTTATTCACAATGGCAACACCCAGCAAAATACACAGGTTGCAGAATCCCAGAACAACCCATATGTCCTTCATTGAGTGAGTGGTCAAAGAGTGGTAACCTAGATCATGGCATATCACTGGGCAATATAAAGAAACATATCACTGGGCCCCTGGGTGGCTCAGTCAGTTAAATGTCTTGATTTCAGCCCAGGTCATGATCTTGTGGTTTGTGAGTCGAGCCCTGCATCAGGCTCTCTGCTGTCAGCACAGATCCTGCTTGGAATCCCTCTCCCTCTCTTTCTGCCCATCCCCCTCTTTCTGTCTCTCTCAAAAATAGATAAACTTAAAAAAATTTAAGAGACCTTTTAATCTTCAATGGTGATGGATGCTTAGAAAACAGACAACATCATTAGTCCCTTCATGAAGATAAGAGGACACATCTTCCAGGGAAAATTTAGCAGTAAATATCTTTATTAAAGTTATCTTTAAAGTGTTCTGGGGTGCCTGGGTGGCTTAGTCGGTTAAGCATCCGACTTTCGCTCAGGTCATGATCTCGCGGTTCGTGGGTTCGAGCCCCGCGTCGGGCTCTGTGCTGACTGCCAGCTCAGAGCCTGGAGCCTGTTTCAGTCTGTGACTCTCTCTCTCTTTGACCCTCCCCTGCTCATGCTGTCTCTCTCTCTCTCTCCTAGAAATAAATAAAAATATTAAAAAATAAATAAATAAATAAAGTGTTTTTACTTTATCAGGGGTGTCTGGGTGACACAGTTAGTTAAGCACCTGGCTCTCAATCTCAGCTCAGGTTAGAGTCTCACGATTTGTGAGTTCAAGCCTCACATCAGGCTCTGCACTGATGGTGCAGAGCCTGCTTGGGATTCTGTCTCTCCTCCTCTCTGTCCCTCCCCCTGCTTGCCCTCTCTCTCTCTCTCTCTCTCTCAAAATAAATAAACTTAAAAAATATATATTAAAAACCTGCTTTATACATTATGACAGTAGTTCCTCATATAGCATTATATCCTATAGAAATACTGGCATGAGATTGCACCAGTTTATCCTAAGATATTAATCGCAGCACACTGTAATACTGGCAAAGTAGAATCAGTTCAAGAATCCATCATTTGATATGAGTTGAATCAATTACAGTTTATCTATACAAAGCACTGATATTCAGCAATTAAGAATAAAATAAATCTAAGGGATCCTAGGTGGCTCGGTCGATTGAGCGTCCAACTCTTGATGTCAGCTCAGGTCATGATCTCATAGTTGTGAGATTGAGCCTAACATCGGACTCCACACTGGGCATGGAGCCTTCTTGAGATTCTCTCTCTCCCTCTCCCTCTGCCCCTCCCCCAATCATGTTCTCATCCTCTCTCTCTCAAAAAAAAAAGAATAAAGTTATATATATACGGCATATATATATTCACTATATATGATACTGTATATGCTGCATATATATATATATAGTAGATATATATTTACCTACAGTATACACACACACACACACACACATAAATAGCTTTTCACAGACCATAGGAATTTTGAAAATCTTCTGATTAAACAGACTCTGCAGGAGATACACATGTCTCACCCACGAGCATCCATCAGTGCTAGTACACAAACTGTGTCTCTCTGGAAATATGTGAAACCTGGTTTTACCAAAGGTTAGACTGACCTCTAAGGAGAACAGTAAATCAACAGAATGGGACTCTGTCAAGGTTGATTTTTTTTTACAACACAGAGAAGCAGTCGAGGTTGGGCCTCCTGGCCTTGTTGACTTCTCTTTCCCAGATTGATAAAATCCGACAAATGCTGCAGCTACTGGGGTGGCCCCTATTAGCACCCAGGTAAATTTTAGAAAAAGAAAGACAGAATGAAAGAAAGAGAAAGAGAAAAAGCAAAAAAGAAACCATGCCATAAAATGTGGGGGGTGGGGGCGGGTGGGAGAAATGGCTCCAATGGGAGGGGATGAAGTGCATCCTCAGCTCAGAGCTTCATGGCCTCCCTAAATCATCCCACAAAGTCCCAAAGACTGGCCTGCAGAGATCCTAGAAAAGACAGTCCTCCAGGCACTAGGTAATGCTTTGTTGTGCTCACTTTGTATGTCGCTGTGGTTTTCATACTCAAGTGATCAAGAGAGAGTCGGACGTCAGGAGCTGGAGATGACAATAGGTTACCGGCCTTCTCCCTCTTCTCTCAGGTGGGTTAATTGAACACATCTGAGTGTGGCATCAGGTATAAAAACACTGCAGGCTCTCCCAGCTCCTCCCAGCCTCCTGTTGCCTGAGGAGCTCTCAGCCCAGCATCCAGCATCATGAAGGCCTGTGTGGATTTGGGAAGATGTCTGCTCCTACTTGCTTCTTTGATTTGGACATGTTCTGGGCAAGAGCCAGGTATCAGAGGTGACCCTGACTGCTGGTCCCTTGAAGGGGGAGTTTCTCAACCACCACGATCCATGAGGCTTCTGATCTCTTGGACTTGGTTGCCTCTCCTCCAAATTTTATTTTATTTTTTAAAGCAGTTTTCTGGGTTTTTAAAAAATGTTTTATTTATTTTTGAGAGAGAGAGAGAGAGAGAGAGAGAGGGGGAGAGAGGCAGTGTGAGCAAGGCAGGGTAAGAGAGAGAGGGAGTCACAGAATCCAAAGACAGGCTCCAGGCTCTGAGCTGTCAGCACAGAGCCTGATAGGGGGCTCGAACCCAGAAACCCTGGAATCATGACCTGAGCCGAAGTGGGATGCTTAACCGACTGAGCCACCCAGGCGCTTCCCTCTCCCCCAAATTTTAAGAACTCAGTGATTCTCCTGGCTCTGAGCTTTACCTTGCCCTCGGGTCCAGCCAATACTGTTGAATGAGTGAAGGAGTATTGCACTCAAGGTGTTGTGTTCTCTGCAGGTTCTTGGAATTAGTCTCTCCTCTCCCACTTCTTCCACGTCTCAGCTGCTGGAAATTCCCACCAAGCTGTCCCTGGACCCTCTGCTCTGTCATGTAGCCTTCCCTTCCCTTTCCTGGCACTTAATCTGTTCTTTCACTTTACACCTGAGTCCCTTAATCACACATTAACTGGCCTGCCTTGTTGAACTGCCTCTCTTCCCATCCAGAACATCACTGCACAAGATGCAATACAAGTGCCATTTCTTAAGATGCGATTCTGGCCAAACCCCTCCTTAAAAATTCCAGTGCTTTGGGGCACCTGGGTGGTGGCTCAGGTGATTGAGTGTCTGACTTTGGTTCAGGTCATGATCTCATGACTCCCCCCACCTTGTACAGGCACCCCATGAAGAGAGCACAGGATCTGTCCCCACCCCATCTGGCCCTAGAACCTGAAAAACAGGGCCTGGCTTACTTCTAGGGCAGACGCCAGATTAAGGCAGCTCCTGTAAGGACTCTGGTCTTTTTCCTACTCACTGTAGGAACCCCAACCAGAAGACCAGGGTAGGGCAATAAAGATGCGAATAGTATGCTGAGAACCATTGCATTCCTTTGACTTAGGGTCTCAACCACCTCACAATGCCCTTTTCCCAGCTTTGCCTGATGCCCTCCCCACAACTATCAGTGTTCACAAAACCAAGTCCAGTGGATGAAGGACTGTGGAATGCAGGATGAATTCTCGACAAGTTATCCCTTGTAAGCAAGTTGTGTGATGTGGTGGAGCCCTGGCCTGACCGGGCTAGCCTGTCAAGATGACCCCTGACCAGATCTTCCACTTGGCCACCCAAGCCATCAGAACGCTCAATTTCCATCTAACATTTTCTTTCCTTGCCTATTTACCTGTCATGTGCCTGACTGTTTCCAGCAGCAAAGACATAGCAGTAAAGAGTTTCTACCTTTCTGGATCCTGCATTGTAGCTGGGGAGAAAGGCACTATAAACAAGTAGGTGGCTAATATGACCAGATTACGATAAAGGCAACAGTACAAATAGGGTGGTGTGGAACAGCGACTATGTAAAAGAAAAGCCACTTGAATGGGATAGTCACATAAGGCCTTCTGGGAAGGTGACCTTGAACTAAGGCATGAAAGAGGAGATGGCAAGGCAAAACTCCAGAGGTAAGCAGTCCGTGAATATGGAGCTGGAAAGAGGGTGGCCACCTCAGTGAACCATAGGGAGGTAGGTGTGGCTCCAGAGTGGCTTTCAAAATAAGAAGGCACTGCTGCCTGGGTCATTTTAGAAACTTCTGCTGCTTTGTTCTAAACAGGACTGGGTTGGAGGGGTGTCTGGGTGGCCCAGTCAGTTGGGTATCCGAATTCGGCTCAGATCATGATCTCATGGTTCATAAGTTCAAGCCCCACACTGGGCTCTGTGCTGACTGCTCAGAGCCTGGAGCCTGCTTTGGATTCTTTGTTTCCCTCCCTCTCTCTGTCCCTCCCCCATTCACACTCTGTCTTTCTCTCTCAAAGATAAACATTAAAAAATAATTAAGACTAGGGGGCAAGTAGGTACCATCCTACACAGCAAAGAATTGTCCCATATGAATTTCCCACATTTTTTGATTCTTTCATATAGGTACAAACCTGTTTATCATGATCTGAACCCAGAACTTACCCTTCATTTGCATATAAACAAAGAGTCTTTTTATACAGGTTATACATACATAAAACCAAGGGGAAAAGGCACTTTTTTTTTTTTTTTTGCTTGGAACTTTACTGCATCATTTATCATTCTGGAAGCAATATCACCACTGAGAAAATGAGTCTACTCTGGTATCTTAAATCTCTGTATCTGTCTGTTAGCAACAGTATGACACACGAGGACGATGATGTAAGTGCTACAGGACTTCCATTGGTCTGCCTGAGTAGCTGCCCATGAATATATAGTATACATTGTGCTTTATTATATATTGCTTTCTTTTTATTTCTTTTATAAGTAGTTAATTAGAGCGATGTGTTAAAGAAATGTTCAAAGCTGGGTTATGTATAAAATTAAAATAAGTTACTTGAGAGACAGTCTGCACATGAAAGACACTCATGTCTGAGTGTTCCCTTCCCTGTCCCCCCTGAGAGCTGGGAATAAATCTCCCCTGTGAAAGATACCCTCTCATACCAGGAGGGACAGAGACGTCCTTATTATCAGTGATAGGAAATTGTAGAGCCAAGAAGACCATATGAACAACTCAGGTTACTTTTTACTAATTTGTTACTCCGGCCCAAATTCTTTTAGAATCTCTTACTAATTGAAGCTCTGAAATTTGTTTTCTTTGTCCTGTGAATTCTTTACAGGTTTATTGTCTGTGTGTCTAAAAAGTATAAAAACTGCCTGTCTTGGTCATTTCTGTAGGTCTCCATTTCATTACTTGAGCCTCTGTGTGCAGATAATAAAACTTTGGAGTTTTTTTCCTTTCTGTTAATCTGTCTCATGGCCATTGAATTCTTAGTTCAACTGAAAGACACTGAGGATAAAGGAAGAATTTTTCCTTCCCTTCATCCTTCACAAAGCTTCTGAGGCAGCCCAGCAGAGACTGGGGTAGTTTGGGCCAGGGTCTTGGCCAATCCCAATACCCAATCCAAAACCCAATCCAGGGTATTGAATTCACAGGAATCCATGTGAGATAATTTTTTAAATGTTTGTTTATTTTTGAGAGAGAGAAAGAAAGAGCACACGCATTAGCAAGGAGGGGCATAGAGAGAGGGAGACACAGAATCTGAAGCAGGCTCCAGGCTCTGAGTAGTCAGCACAGAGCCCGATGCTGGGCTCAAACTCAGGAACCCTGAGATCATGACCTGAGCCACAGTCAGCTGTTTAACTGACTGAGCCACCAGGCACCCCCCAAGTGAGATAAATTTTGAAGGTAAAAGTGAGAAGACTCAGGGATAGGCGAGATTCAGGTATGGAAGAAAGGAAGGAGTTCGAAGAAATCCTAGCATTTCATGGCTTGGAAGTTGGATGGATCGTAGTGCTGTTAACTGAGATGGAGAGCAAACCAGGAGTGGGGTCAATCAGAGCTTCTGGATTGCACAAATACCTTTGAGAGAACTATTTCAAATATCTACTCAGATGCCTAGTAGCTAATTGTAGAGGTAACTCTCAAACGTGGAGAGAAGTCTAGGTCAGGCATGACAATGGGATCCCCCAAGGTAACATGATGTAGTCGAAAGAACAATGACCCAGTGTGATTTTTCAGTTCCAGCTCTGTATTCTGTGACCCTGAAAAAGTCCCTTCGTTCTCTCCATATCTACTGCACACTTGCTACTGTGTGGCACACAGCCATGGGCAAAAGTTAAAACATGGGATCTATTTTCACCAGGCTCAAGTTTACTGAGAATGCTAGGCGCTGGGGAACTCAGTTCCTAATAAAGATGCAATCCTCTGCTTCCCCCACCCAAAAGGGAGGCTCGAAGACATGCCACCAAGGTTCTTTCTCAGGTAAATTCTGAGTGCTGTGTGAATTCACTCTGGTCACCTGGGGAGTGGCAGTCTGAGAGAGGTAGAGAGCCCCCTGTAGGTTGTGAAGGGAATCATGTTTTCCACAGATCTCAAAGTTCCATTTCTTGTAGTTGAAGATGGTCTTCCTTTTCGGTACCTAATAGTCCTGCTCAAACTTCTTTGAGCTGTTCACTGAAACAGATCTGCTGACTGTCTTTTTTGCTTTGCCTCCTTTAACAGTGTTGGTGGAATGCAGCCGTTTGAAATTTTTTGCCGTAGTTAAAAGAGCACTGTTTTATAGAGATGAATTGGTAGGCCCGGATGAGTTATTTCTGGGGACTGGCTGTGAGACAACTCGAGTGCGGCCAGACGAACTTGAATTTAACTATCCTATTAGTCTCTGCGGAATTGTGACACAGGTAAGAAAAGGAATCATTTTCCTGGGTTCTGTCTGTAAAATCCTTGGAAGCATTGCTTTATGTTTGTTATTATTATATATTATTATTATAACTGGCTACTGATCTTGATCATTAGTACCACAGACTCAGCAGATGCATAGAAAGAACTTGAAGAACACTTTCTGTTTTCATTCATTCACCAGAGACCTACTATGTATAGGACACGGACAGTGCATAAGAAACTCAAAGAGCTTTCTCTTAGGAAGTGTAGAATACTCATTATTACATGGATAGCATGATAGATTAGCCCGCATTTTCACACAGTTTCTAATCCTCAGAAGAGCATGAAGTTACTGTCATCTCCTCTTATGTAAATTAAGGAATTGTGGCACAAAGGCCATGATGTAACCAAACTTAGGAAGTCAAGGCCAGAAACCAGGTTTGCTGATACCTATGCTAATAAGCCCTTAGTTCTATTTTGCTTTCACTTATGACTCTGGGATAAGCAACCTAATTATAGAATGTACGACAATGACTTTATTTTTTAAAGACCATGGGAATTTGGAGGAAAGGGAGATCTGGGAGAGTCTTGAACTAGAAATACACTTTACTTGTTCTTCTCTTCCTCACAAGAGAGTACTCAAAAATCTGAGTACCAACATCCTAATAAGGAAAGCCCTGGGAAAGTTTTGATGTAGGAGGTTTCTACCACACCAAAGGTAAGTATAATATATCCGATTTATCTCCTCTTCATGTGCACTGCTTTAAACATGGGGCTAAATATTTTCTGCCAGGAACCTGACCTTCAAGTCACAGGCAAGGGATAACTTGAACATGGTGGCATGAAGTTCTTTCATTGGATCCTCTTCACGGACGCATAAGAATCATGGTCTGAAAGTACAATTTGTGCTGTTCCAGCACATTGCACCAGCCCTTATTCCCCCCGCCATGCCATTCTAATCACTCAGATCTACTCCACTACATCTGCCTTGGAGAGATCCAAAGGCATTCGAGACCCTTCTAGAGGTTCAAAGTGCCTATCTCTCCTAGAGTCCTTGGCAACAGCCTAACTCAGTACCTATTGGGGATCAAGTATCAGTAAGCAGGGATGATTTTTGCCCCCACCCCTGGTGGTCATTTGGAAACGTCTGGCAACAATTTTAGTTGTCAAAACTGGGCAAGGTGGTAGAGTGCTACTGGCATCAAGTGAGTAGAGGCCAGACATGATGCTAGACACCCTACCCGACACGGGATAGTCCCCACAACAAACAATTATGTGGCCTGAAGTGCCAACAGCATCATGGTTGAACAACCTGGCCTAACCCATCACACTTGACCTCTCCCCCATGTTGGTGCTCTGAATAGTCTTTCACTAAAGGAGCTTAGAAGTGTGACAGCAGACACAGCCTAAACTCTGGCCTCACTGCTACACAATCCAGATGATAACACTTCACATTTCTAAAACTGCTTTTTTCTTGTTTCACCCCTTCATTGGAATCACTGAACCAGACAAATCATGAGACCCCAGGAAATATATGCTTCATCTATCTTATAGGCTACTATGCAGCTAATAAATTTATACAATAATCCAGCTTGAGAACCCCTCAATTAAAGTAGGGAAAGAAGATAGAGATATGTGCATCATATTTGTCTTTCTATATATATAGTATACTTTGATTATAAAAAAAAGTTCACTGGAAATGCATGCAAGTTGTTACAAAATGAAACTAGGCTGATCTGCTTACAGGAATTCTATGTCATTTGTTGAACACCAAACACACTTCAAAATTCCCTACGAGGAGTACATGTTTTCTGCTTAGAAAACTCAGTTGGTTAGCACAAATACATACTTTTCAGTTAGCTGTCTTCCTTTTGGTCTAAGGGTTTTTCAAGGATTTGGAGACCAGAAGTAAAAAGAAAATACCACGTTTTAAATCAGAGATCAGAGAAAGTATTTCAGAAACCCACAATAAGGGTCAGCTTAAAAATTCTCTTCTCAGGGAACAATTTTTCTCCCCAGTAGCTGCGGAAAATTTTTCTTCCCTAGAATCTTGATTTGAAGAGTCTAACACAAAACTTTCAGGGTCAACTGACCCTCGATCACCAATTCTATTCAAAATCCTCTGCCACACCTTCTTGTTCTGTTGTCTGATGCAGCTAAATGCCTCTGCTTTGCCGAAGAGAATTTAACTACCTTAACTGGGGTAAATATGATCTCTGGAGACACTGAGTGGCCAATTTTTTATTTGAATATATTAAAATATGTTGTGACATCTGAACACCTACTTCAAGGGCCTCTTTTCCCACCAGGTTTTCTATGATGGAGTTGCCTTCCATTCCTGGCTTATCTATGTACCAAAGAACAAATCTATTTCTGCTAAACTTCATTTGGAGTGTACAGTTCCCAGGTCAGTCCAAAAAATCCATTGGCTCCTCCCTTAAATACCGATAGCTCTTTGCTGAATTGTACTGCTATCTACTTGGAAACCTTGAATATCACAACTGTTTTTATATAGCTTCTCAGCTTCTCAGAGTTTCTGCCAATGCTACTGAACCTCTATAGAAGCCCACTATTCAGAGGTCAAAGCTCGGGACAAGTGAGTCATACAAAATTACAAAACCGGAGTGGACCTTGCTTCTTAGTTTTAGATCCTTGGTTCCTTCTATCTACTCTCCTACAGATCATGAAATTTGCTGCCAAACATAATTCACAGCACCAACACTTGACACACAGCATCTACGGAGATTTCTAAGGCATGCAGATTGGCATTAACTCTTCAACAGTTCCAGAGGCTCTGAGTTGTATGGGAGAGTTGAGGCTTGGGAAGGCAGATACATAATAGTCCATTTTCCTTCCTGCATTTGAAATCTATTAATAAATCATAGGCTATGAAAGATATCGATCAGAATGTAGTTTTATTTCTAGTAAAGCCACTGGCAAATGAAGCTTTAGCCCTACAACTGGAAAGCCTTATTCAAGTCCCCCCTGAAATGAGTTTGCTGACCCAGAGGAAGGAAGAGCTGGAAAAATACAGGTCTTCCCCTTGCGTATAGAGCTCCGCAAGAGCTTGTGCCATAGGCCGGCCTCCCGATTGTGGAGCAGGCCAGACTCCACAAGGAGAACTGTGTTCCACCTAAACTAAGCATAACCAGCTCCTTCTCCCAAATTTGCCATCAGATAATATTTTCCTACTTCCTTAGAAAATTAAGAGACGGGACCTAGAGAAGGCTAAGTTGTTTTTCCCATAGATTCTTGTCCTGGAAAGTAGTATAAAATACACCTGTCTTCTCTGGAAATTTCAAAACATTAAAAGCAAAATAGTACCAAACAGGCCATTAAAAAGAGGGGCACCTGGGTGGCACAGCTGGTTAAACATCCAACTTCTACTCAGATCATGATCTCATGGCTTGTGAGTTCAAGCCCTGCATAGGGCTCTGTGCTGACAGCTCAGAGCTTGGAGCCTGCTTCAGATTCTGTCTCTCCCTCTCTGCCCCTCTCCCACCTGTGCACTCTCTCTCTCTCCAAAATAAATAAGCATTAAAATTTTTTTCTAAAGAAAATTCTATAGTTTAAGCAGTAAGTATACAATTTCTTCTAAGCCAATTGGAATTGAACTGGGGGGAAAGGATCAGAAAGTTTAAGCATTAAGTCTATCAGGCCACAGCTTTTGCGTGAACATGCTACTTGATTTTCGAAGTCTTCTGCTACGTGGTTTTGTTCTGTTTTCTGATAAAATTAAGTGTCTCTGCTTTGCCAGAGAGAACATTCATTACCTTAATTGCTAATAATGACCTCGTTTACTGAACACTTACTATGTGCCAGCCACAAATTTAGAAGAACTTCAGGCATTTTAATTGTCATTATCAACCCCATGTGTGAGTCACTTGTATTGTCCCTATTTAATGTTTGAGAAACTTGGGCACAGACACATTAAAGATTTGCCAGCATCACACAGCTACAGGCTCCAAAATTTAACTCTGGGTAGAAAGGCTGGAAAACCACTGCCTTGTATCCCTAGGCTCTGCAGGTCTGTGCTGGCTAGCAAGCTCTTGGGTCAGCTTCCAACCTGACTGATGTCCTCTTTCAAACAAAAGGAAGAGACCTTTATTCGACCTTTATTAACATATTAATAAACTTCAAGAGATTCTAGGAAAATCTTGCCTTAGACCTAGTACTGTTTTCCAGCAAAAATTACAGGGAACATATTCTTGAAATAGTTTTTCTTAATTTAACAAAGGATAGTTTCTGTGTCCTTAAGTTATTATCCAACAGTGAAGGGTTTGGTGAGGGGTTAGGGTGTTGAACAAGAACATGATCATGTGTTATGCTTAAGACAAAATGAAAAGTTATAGCTGTTACAGCAAGGTCGGGCAAAACCTGGGTCCAAAGTTCAATCCCGAAGTTCCGAATGATATCTTAAGTCTTTGTATTACGTTTTAATTCCCTTTCCCCCCACCTTTTGAAAGCTCCTGCACCTCACCTGATGAGTCCAGAAACAACGCTAAAGTGAGCAATGATGGCTTCCTCATATCCCCACCTGTTCAACAGTGGCTCTTGATACACTACAGATACTGCAGGAGATGTGGCTATGCCCACTTCAGAGAACACTGGGTAAGGATACTTGCAAAAGCCAACATTTAATGTGCCCAGTCAGGTAGTCTATGATGGAAAAAAACAAAAAACAAAAAACCATACCTATATGGGGCAAGTAAGAACAGGTAAAGTCTAAATCCCCATGGAAGTCTAAATGGCATACAATTCTGTAGTGGAGACAGAAGTAGGGTTACGTTGGGTTCTTTCTCTTGTGCTTGTATCTCACTAGACTTGGTATTCATATGAGGAAGACCCTCTACCTTCCCTTCTTATATTTCTCTCCTGACCCTAGGATTTTTTTTCTTAAACAGTAAGGGTTCCACTCTACCAAGTTCATGCCTGTATATCTGAGTCCAAAACCAATGACTGTAAGAGAAGGAGTTGATAGGTTCAGAGGTTACCAGATTAGAGCATCTTTCTTACCTTTCATGGAGAGATTAAACATCTTAAGATTGGAGGGGGCCCTTTAAAAGAATCAAATGAGCTAAGTCATTTGGGTTTTCCCACTGGGTCCAGTTCAAACAAAATTGTAAACATGTAGAAGACTCCCTAGAATTTTGTCTTCCTTTTTTCCTATAGTCTTTAAGAAATAGGATCTGCATTGCTCCCATTCTTAAAATCTATACTATCCCAAGATTATCTGAGATATAACTCCTGAGAGTTATAGGAAAATCATATCTTAAACTAATCTTATGTATTTTAGCTATTTTCATTCCCATTTTAGCCCATGGGTTTGAGCTCAAAGAGAGTCCTCCCCCTCCTATGAACAATATCCCGTCTCATAAAACTAAACATCAGCTAATTGGACCTTGTTTCTCCACAGTCCAGACCTTTTTATGGATCACACAATTATTCACTTCAAGAGTATTTCTCCCATCCTTTCACTGATGACTTTTAGAAGCTTTCGCCCTTGGACTTTCAGCAGCAACATGAAAGTAGCTCAGTCATGTGGCATTTTGTTTTTATATATTTACATGCTTTTAATTCATTTTAATCTAGTATAATCCCTTTCACAATGCCTTTGAGAAGAGGCCATTTGTATTTTTAACTTTGAATGTGGCCACAGACCCATGAATAAAACTTGACACATTTTTGGTATATTTGTGTTTACTGCATTTCTATTTTAGCATTCCAGGCTGCAAGGCTGAGTTACCAGGAAGGTAGGAGACTGGGGGAAGGTTATGACCAATATTGTTCTCAGTAGCTATTTAATACCAGCTGTTGAACGTGGGTGCTGGTTGTGTGTGGTAACATGGCCAGAAAGATCACTCAGAAGAGAGTAAATAGAGGGTGAGACCCTGGGTGGCTCAGTTGGTTAAGCATCCGACTTTGGCTCAGGTCATGATCTCATAGTTCATGGGTTTGAGCCCCGCGTCGGGCTCTGTGCTGACAGCTGAGAGCCTGGAGCCTGCTTTGGATTCTGTGTCTCCCTCTTTCTCTGCTCCTCCCCCATTAGTGCTCTGTATCTCTCTGTCTCTCAAAAAAGAATAAACACATTAAAAAAGAAAAGGAAAGCGAGACCTACTAGAAGCACAGAGATCTCGGAAGGGTGAGTAAAGGATGTCCATTTTGGTCCCCGAACAGAGATCTAACACTATGAAAGTTATGATCATGTCTGCCAATTCCTTTTCAGAGTTCCTTCATAAGGATGGTATCACTTTTTAAAATTTAGAAGCCATGTTGCCATCAAAGGAATATCAATTATATGCTCTGTGGCAGTGATTCAAACACTTTCTTGTGTATAACATGATGGATAAGGTCAAATGAGATCCTCAGGTACAAGACAGAGGTTTTCCAAAGTCCAAACTAGCCACTGAGCTTCTATCTTGGGCCTGGATGAGCTCTTAACTGCCTCGCCACTCCTGCCCTTCCTTGTAATCCCCACATATTTTCTGTTCAGCCATTGCTAATAATAGTTTCAATTCGCATGTCCAATTAGCTTAAATTCATACAAGGGAAAGCCACTCTGTGAAGCAATCATGGTCCTAGCTCTTTCCATTGTCATTTTCACAAGGAACAGCTTGCACTTCTCAGTGAAGGTAAAGGACATCTTGATCTCAGTCCACTAGGACAATATTGAGATTTTGCAAACCTCCCCAGGTAGAGCCCAGGCATTAAGAAATTGGGTGTGGGAGACTGCTTTCTGGCATTATTTCTTGTGACCACCTTTTTGCCTTGCAAGTAAAGAGAGCTGTTTCCATTTCAAAAATTTTCTTTTCCTTTGCTTTGTTTTTGCTACCTCTGACTCCTCCCTCTGATTATCTCTCCCAGACTATGCACCCATAGGATTGCAGACTACAATGTCAAGGTTAGTGCTTTCTTGGGGCCCTATAAAGAGACTCCCCTGTATAGCCCTCTCTATGTTCCCAGCGCCCAAGTTCCTGATACTTGACCAGCTAACTGTGAAACTCCACTTCCTAATATTATTCCCCACCATCTCCCTACCCTTACCACTTTCTCCTATAACAATCCTTTATTTTATTTTTATGGCTCTTCCCAATGTAAACAAGAGCCCTTCAGGGAGCAATGAAAACCCCTGACCCCCTCCCCCAAATCTGTGGAAATCATGCACACAAGCCAAGATTGTAAAATAAACCTCCTCCCATCAAAATATGTGTGTGTGGATTAATAGGTAGACAGACAAATATAAAAATACATATTTTCTAGAACGTGTACATTTGAAGAGGCCCAGGCCAGGTATACTCCAAGACTATTCCATATTAACAATTGACTTTGGCCCTCAAGATGGGTATGTTTCTATACATAATTGTATTTGAAATAGAAACATCAGTGATTTGGCACTTGAGTTACAGTGACACACTACCATTCATTCAGTTAACAAGTATTATTGAGAAATTACTATGAACAAAGTATTATTTTATGCCTTAAGGACACATTAATTTTTTTAAAAAAAGACAAATTTCTTCCCTTCTTGACCTTACATTCTAATATATAAAAAAACAAAATGAGTAAAATATATAGTATATGTTTAGTGCTAAGAAGGAAAAATAAAGAAGGGAGATATTAAATGTTGATGTGCATGAAATTTTAGGTATGGTGGGGAGGAAAGGACTCAAAAGATAGTTTTGAATAAAGAGACAAGAAAAGGTACCTGGGTATTTCAGTCAGTTGAGCATTCGACTTTGGCTCAGGTCATGATCTCATGGTTTGTGGGTTCAAGCCATGCGTTGGGCTCTGTGTTGACACCTCAGATCCTGGAGCTTGCTTCAGATTCTGTGTTGCCCTCTGTCTCCACTCCTCCCTCGCTCACACTTGGTCTCTCTCGCTCGCTTGCTCAAAAATAAACATTAAAAAGAGAGGGGCACCTGGGTGGCTCAGTTGGTTAAGCGTTCAACTTCAGCTCAGGTCATGATCTCACGATTTTTGAGATCTGACGATGGTTTGAGCCCCGCATCAGGCTCTGTGCTGACAGCTTAGAGCCTGGAGCCTGTTTCAGATTCTGTATCTCCCTCTCTCTCTGGCCCTCCCCTGCTCACGCGCTCTCTCTCTCGCTCTCTCTCGCTCTCTCTCTCGCTCTCTCACTCTCTCTCTCTCTTGCTCTCAGAAATAAATAAAACATTAAAAAATGTTTTAAAAGAGAGACAAAGCAAGCAGCCAGCCATATGGATATCTAGACATAACAGGAAGGGTAAAGCCCTGAGACAGAATGAGGTATCTACAATAATGCCATTTAAAGTAATTAGGGATTTAGGCAAACAAAACAACAGCCCACATTTCACACTGGACACAAAAGGTATTCATCAAATACATTAGAACAGTTAGATTTGATGGAGGATTGATTACATTGGTTAAATCAAGAGGGGGTCTTGCATCGGCCAATAATCACAATGTGTGATTAACCTGACCCTTGAAATCTCTTTAAGAAGTATAATCACCAAGTTTGATTTTGTCAAAAATTGGACATAGAAGAAGCTAGGCCTCTCAACCTTCCTAGGTGGATAGAAATAACAGTGAATAATTAGTTCCTCAGCAGCTCAATCAGAACGTTCAACATTCCTAAAAAACATCACACATGGGCAGCCCTCTGCAAAATAAAAAGGCTCTTGAACCTTATCATGCATCACAATCACCTGGGGAGCCTGTTAAAACACAGCCTGGGAGGGGCGCCTGGGTGGCTTAGTCGGTTAAGCGTCCGACTTTCACTTAGGTCATGATCTCGCGGTTCATGGGTCATGATCTCGCGGTTCTTGGGTTCGAGCCCCGAGTCGGGCTCTGTGCTGACTGCCAGCTCAGAGCCTGGAGCCTGTTTCAATCTGTGACTCCCTCTCTCTCTGACCCTCCCCTGCTCACGCTGTCTCTCTCTCTCTCCTAGAAATAAATAAAAAACATTAAATTAAAAAAAAAAACAGCCTGGGAGCAAGAATTTGCATTTGTAACAAGTTCCCAGGTGATGCTGATTCTGCTACTCTAAGGCCCACCTTTTGGGAACCACTACACAACAACGATGAAGGCTGGACAACATCTTCAAAAGTCCCAACGATGGTCTAAAGACTCAAATGTGTCCACTTAATTGGCCTGTACTTCAGGCCTCAGAAATGTATAGTTTCAAGTGTGTGGAGGGCTCTTTGTTCTCCAGATTACTGAAGTGATCATGTACATGTCAGTTAAGCATTATGCATGAACCGACTTCAGGCTTCTCAACTCCCTCAGCTTCCAGTTGCTTGAGGGATTCTTAACCCACAATCTAGCATAAGGAAGGCCTTTGTGGAGTTACCTTCTACATGTTTTCTTGATTTGGACATGTTCTGGGCAAGAGTCAGGTGTACGAGTACACTTCAGCCGATAGTTTGAAAGGGTAGTTTCTCGATGGACATGAGTCATGCTAAAAGATGGCTTCACCTGCCCTCCATTTTGACCTCAACTTTTCTAATTGGGTTCTTCATTCCAGCCTGTCTCTTGGCTCAAGCAGAAATCCCTGAGAGCAAAGCATCCCCTGATAGGAACTGAAAAGATCCCTTCAAGCAATAAGGACTGCCCTGAGCCAGCGAGACCACACC